TTTGTGGGTCAGGAGTTTGGGTTGGTTTCTCCTTTATGGGTTTCACAAAGATGAAATCAGGGTATTGTCTCATGGGGTTCTTGGGGAGAGGCTCTGGGAGCGTCTGCTTCCCAGCTCGTTGTCAGTGGACTCCAGTTCCCTGCAGTTAGAGTTCCCTGTCTCCTTGCTGGCTGTCATTTGGGAGTCACTCTTAGCACATAGGGGTCTCTTTCAGGCCCTTGCATGCAAGCCCCTCCAACTCAGAGCCAGCAGCAGTATGTCAAATCCTTCTCACACTGGAAGTCTCCAACTTCTTGTTCTGTGCTTTTGAGAGATCACATGATTAGATTAAGCTCATCTATAATCCAGGATAATCACCCCATTTAGGTTCTGTTACCTTAATCACATCTGCAAATTCCCTTTTGCCATATAATAAAGCATCTTCACAGCTCCCAAGAAGATCTTTAGGGACCCATTATTCAATTTGCCACACTCACATCTATATTAGAGCTTCAAATCTCTCCAAGAGAGATTTATGGAAATGACATTAAACAATAATGGTGATAGGAGATCTTGATTTGTTCCTAGTTTAGGAACATTTCATCATTCAGCATGATGCTGACTTTCAGCCTGAGACGTGTGTGTGTGTGTGTGTGTGTGTGTGTGTGTCTGACTGTCTGGCTTTCCTGTTAATATATGTATACCAAAAAGTATCCATTTATCTCCATTTCCTATCTTTAATTTTTTTTTTCAACGTTTATTTATTTTTGGGACAGAGAGAGACAGAGCATGAACGGGGGAGGGGCAGAGAGAGAGGGAGACACAGAATCGGAAACAGGCTCCAGGCTCTGAGCCATCAGCCCAGAGCCTGACGTGGGGCTCGAACTCACGGACCGCGAGATCATGACCTGGCTGAAGTCAGACGCTTAACCGACTGTGCCACCCAGGCGCCCCATCCATTTCCTATCTTTAAACATCAACAATGGATGCTCAACATTGTCAAATGACTATTTGGCATCTATCTACTATAATCCTTATGCTTTTTTTCTCCTTTGACCTATTAATATGGTGCATGAATTGTATTATTTAAATGAGTAGTTTTTCTATTATTGAATTATCATTTTATTCTGGAGTTGTTTTAATATGTGCTTAGAAACATATCATGTGAATTTATTTTATATGAATTTTTTAAATGTAATTTTCTATTTTTTCTTCTTTGTTTTCACATCAGGGCTGTTATGATCTTAGTATGATGATCTTATTATGATGATCCTTCTAAGGAATTGGGTCATTCCTTTCTCTCTATGCTCTGGAACTATTTAAATATTACATCCTCTATTCTTCATGAGTTTGAAAGAACTCATTTAACAACCACTTGGACCTAGCACATTTAGAGGGAAAGTCTCTTTGTTAACTTTCTTATTTTTTTCATCTTTTTGGATCAGTGCTTCATTGTAAAAAATCTAGTCCTTCACCACAGTTTATTTCTAATAGCAAATACCTATACATATATTTTGAATGACCATATCTATCAATATTTAAGGTTTTGAATGTAACCAGCAAACTTGTGTTTTGCATGTCTTCTTGAGGTTGGACTGACAACACCACTCACCATGGGGCAAAGATGTCTAAACTATTTTAACAACACTCATACAAGAGCAACTTGTCTTTCAGAAGTACGTTCATGGGAATGGCAATGAGAAGTTAAAGCAATGTCATCAAGTTCTCAATAATCATTTGTAACTTTTTTTTCTCAAAATAAAGCTGTATTTTCAAAATCCATCTTCAATTTTCATTGATATTCAATTCCAACAGCTTACCTTAAAGGTTACAAATCTGTGGGCGCCTGGGTGGCGCAGTCGGTTAAGCGTCCGACTTCAGCCAGGTCACGATCTCGTGGTCCGTGAGTTCGAGCCCTGCGTCGGCTCTGGGCTGATGGCTCAGAGCCTGGAGCCTGTTTCCTATTCTGTGTCTCCCTCTCTCTCTGCCCCTCCCCCGTTCATGCTCTGTCTCTCTCTGTCCCAAAAAATAAATAAACGTTGAAAAAAAAATTAAAAAAAAAAAAGGTTACAAATTTGTAATATCTTCTGATTAAAAGAAGTGGATTCAAAACTAATAAATTTTCTAGAATGAACTTTTGACAGAAAATAACATTCAAAGCATCCTATCAATTCTGGAAATTTTCAGTGATTGCTTTTTGCAAGTGTGCAATACTGAGATCATCACCTACTTCATGGTTAATTATGGTTAAATTATGAAAAATGTCACAGTGGTATGTAGAAACCATTCTTCCAAATTTTTTACTTTCATTTTTTGCTCCTTTATTTTAACCGTCATCATAAAACATGTTGCATCCTTTTCTTGCATGGAAGCATTAAAGTTATTAAAATACAGAGGATATTAGAGAAAAGTAAGTCTGGATGTCCATTCTGTGTCTTTAAAATGTTGGGACCCAAAACACAAAGAGATTTTTCCATAGCTCAAATATTCTCAACAGATTTTTTTTCCCTGAAGAACCCACCCTTTATGTCACCATGCAATGGCACGTGTTTATGATCAACTCATACAGTAAAAGAATAAAGAGAATGTTGTCAAAGTTAATGCATTAGCCTTTAAGTAATTCACAATTTTTACAGCATCAGTGAGCACACTATTTAGTCAGCTGTTATTTTTCATAGCAGACTTTCTCAGTGAAGGAAGAAGTGTTATTGATTTACAAGCCAGATTCTTAATCTGGGTAACTACTTCAGAATGTTTTCCTCTGAAACATCAGAGCATATTCCTGCAGAAAACTTAATTCCAGACCACATTTGTTGACAAAAAAGTAGATTTGATTAAAAATTAAAATGACTGCAAAAAAATAACAAGTTACAAAAAATAAATGCTAACATTTGCTCATTTGTACACATTTGGTTTGTGGTTGACACCTTAAAATATCACAAGTTGTAATGCACATTACTTTTTTGTATTTTTAGTACACTTTCTTTTTCTGTTACATGTTATAATCAATCAATAGTGTTCTAAATGGCTTCCTTTGGTGGACTAGTGCATAATCGTATCTTCTGCAAAAATAAGTGTGTCTTCCTTCCAATATTTATATCTCTCATTAAAAAAAATGTTTATTTATTTATTTTGAGAGACAGAGCAGAGAAGGGGCAGAGAGAGAGAGGGAGGGAGAATCCCAAGTAGGCTCCATGCTGCCAGAGCAGATATGAGGCTTGAACCCACAAACTGTGAGATCAGGGCCTGAGCTGAAACCAAGAGTCAGAGGCTTAACCGACTGAACCACCCAGGTGCCCCTCTACCTCTCATTTCTTTTTCCTTTCTAATTGCATCAGGTGGTAAATCCAGAATTATTTAAACTAGTCTTTCAGTTTCAGCACTACTAGCATTTTGGTTGGCTTTAAAAACATTATTTTATTATTTTTTTAAGTTTATGTATTTATCTTTGAGACAGAGCATGCTCATGAGCGGAGGATGGGCAGGGAGAGAGAATCCCAAGTAGCCTCCACACTGCCAGCACGGAACCCCATGCAGGAGTCGAACCCACGTACCGTGGGATCATGACCTGAGTCAAAACCAAGAGCTGGACTTTTAACTGACTGAGCCACTCTGGAGCCCCTGGATTGTGGGGGGAGGAGTGGACTTTCTTGTGCATTGTAAAATGTTTAGCAGCATCCCTGGCCTCAACCCCATAGATGCCAGTGGAGACATCATGTGGTTCAAAGGGTGAATCAGGAGTGTGTAAGTAAGAGTGCAAAGAGAATAGCAGCGGCAATTAGGAAACTGAATATTGAAGGGTGAGATTGAAGGGTGGAGGAGTGAAATCTGTTACTGAGCCCCTCTCAGATGTTTTTCTGATTTGTTATTTGTGAATACTTATTTGACTAGAAATTAGTTATACAGTACAATTTCATCATGAAAAATATGCAGAGATAAAAAGAGTCTAGGAAAAATATTCAAAATTATCAGAGTTGCTATTTCCGAGTGGAGGATTCATTTTTTTTTCAACTTTAAAAATATATATTTTTATGACTTTCCTGGATCCATTTATTAAAAGTTGAGAATATATATTTTTATTTATTTTTTATTTATTTATTTATTTATTTATTTATTTATTTATTTTTTTAAATTTTTTTTCAACGTTTATTTATTTCTGGGACAGAGAGAGACAGAGCATGAACGGGGGAGGGGCAGAGAGAGAGGGAGACACAGAATCGGAAACAGGCTCCAGGCTCCGAGCCATCAGCCCAGAGCCTGACGCGGGGCTCGAACTCACGGACCGCGAGATCGTGACCTGGCTGAAGTCGGACGCTTAACCGACTGCGCCACCCAGGCGCCCCAAGAGAATATATATTTTTATAATAAAATACCATTGAAATTATTAATTTACAAAGTTGGTAGATGCTGACTCATCATAATTGTGTTGAAAACCAAATCATTAGAAAGTCTAATAAAATATTAAAGCTCCTTGTTTATGAATTGTAGAAATGTCTTGTTTGTTAGTTCCATTTTTTTGCAATAAAAATGTATTATTCTTTTGTTGGAAACAATTTTGATTTTTTTTTTTTTTTTAGGGAAATGTTTTGGAGTTGGATTTTGATCAAAAACTCCGAAGCATGATTATGGGAGTAAGTTGTTAAACATAACGTACATCTCTGGAAGTATTGGTAAGTGAGAAAAACCTAAAAATCTCCTAACTTGCCTTGTAGTCAACTTTACCTCCTAGGAAATAGGGACAGCAAATAGGTGATTTTCCATTATGAATGCAGGAAGAACTACACCATTATCAGAGCCCCATGCAAAATGAAAATGTGGGCCTTTTGTTCAAAACTTATTAAGAATTTCAAGACAGTGACAGAAGAAGGGCAGCTGGGTGGCTCAGGCGGTTAAGCTCCCTACTTCAGCTCAGGGCATCATCTCATTGTGCATGAGTTGGAGCCCTGCGTTGGGCCCTGATGACAGCTGGCGTCTGGAGCCTGCTTCGGATTCGGTCTCCCTCTCTCTCTGCCCTTCCCCCACTTGCACTCTGTCTCTCTCAAAAATAAATAAACATTAAAAAATGGTTTTTTTAAGTAATAAAAAAAAATGGCGACAGCAGAATACTTGAAAAATGTGGGCCATTTCTGAGCACAGGACTCTGTGTAATGACATAAAGCAGGTCCTGTCCATAGGAATAATTTCTTCACTTACCAAAGGAGAAATGGTGGGGCCTGGAAGGAAACATTCATCTCACAGTTCAAGCCAGTGAAAGGTATGCCCTAGATTTTAGAAAAATTAAGAAAGATGGGGGGTTCAAAATCCTACGAAGATGTTTTTAAAAAGCTCATGATACAAAAATTAGGAAAGGGAAGATTTGTAGGAAAACTCATAATTATCTTCAGATATTTTAAAGGTATTATGCTATTCTGGAAAATCTGGCTTTATTTACTTCACATTCCTTTTGTTCTGAGTTCTGAGACTCCCTCCCCCCCCCCTTTTTTTTAGAGATCAACCCTTTCAATTTCCTCTCCTCACTTCATTTATGTGGTTGATGGTGTTCATTTTAATATGGCGTGACAGTTCACACACACACACACACACACACACAGAGCCACAGATTAGTCAAAGATAGAACACCTAACTCAAATTAGGTCATAAGAGTCCATTCTCTAGAAAGGAATATTTATGACCCAATAATGCAACTAGAACTTACTGATTGATGTTACAGGGTAAACTGATTATATAGAAGCAATATTATTACACAGTCACTTTCTCCTAAGGAACATACTGCTATGTGCCTGGAGGTGTTTAAGTGTGGCCTGAATTATTCAAAAAGAGATGCAAATAACAGACAGAATATAGGAACAGAATAAACGTTTCATTTTAAAAGAAAACCTGCAAAAGTTTTTAAATACATAATACAGATGCATAACCTTTCCCCTGTCTCTCTTAACAATTTTAAATGCCTCTATTTAAGTAGTTTTTTTCTTGAATTTAAAACATAGAATTCTCCTCAAACCTCTAACCAACACCTCTAATATAAAATTTGTTGTACTTACATTTATATTTAAGAATGGTTACAATTACTAGGTTGTCTTTTATTCCCTTTAACCTCTCCATATTTCACACCTTGACTTCAACTGGGTGAGCGTGTTTAATATTTTATGCCTTCTAGCCTCAAACTCCCAATACCTGTCTTTTTTTTTTTTTCCTATCGTACCTTTTTTATTGTTTCCTTAATAATGGAAAAAATGATATGTAAACACACAATATGTACTGACTTTAAATGCCAGGATTATATTTTCTGAAATGAGGTGCCAACAACATAGTAAAACTAAAATTGAATAAACAATTAATTATTACTGACAACTTTGCTTTGGTGGATGAGCACAGAAATTCCTCAAATCAAAACTCTCATTAATGCACTGAAAAAAAATGTATGTTGAAATTTAGATCATTCCTGTAGTGATAAAAATTATCCCTATGTTGAGTAGCTTTATTCAAAAAGAGAGAGAAATAATAAGAGATGGGAGAAATGTGTATTACATATCATCCGTTATTTGAAATAAGTAAATAGTTAATTCAACTGTGGGACACAAAGGCGATGGTCTTTTATGGGATAGGACTTCAGTGGTTTAAGGTTAGAGGGATATTTCACCCCCAATTTGACTTTTATTTATCTATTATCTGAACATATCCACTAGACTATTTCAATTTGGGGTAATAATTTTAATTGTTCTATTTTTCTCCAGCTTTTATTGTCAATAGAAAAAAAACATTGTCAAAATAAAACTGAAGCCCATAATGAGGCCATTTTTTTCTTCTTCACAAATGAAATAATTGCACAGACTGTCAAGAAATTCCTTCACTTAGAATATTTCAAAATACTCTGGAATTACTATTTAATATCTGAAATTAGGGGATGCTAAAGTGGAAATAGAGGAAGAGAAAGATTTGTGTAATTATGTCGTTGAAAGTCCACACAGCTGAATGTATTAGGGTGTCTGTGTTAGGCAGCGTTTAAGATGGCTCCTAATAATCCCTACCTTGTACTAGTCATGTGTTACCCTCTCCTTTTGAATATGGGGTGCATGTAGCAACTCACTTCTGACAAACAAAATATGGCAAAGTGATGTGACATCATTTCTAAGACAAGGTTAGAAAAAGGCTGTGGGCTTTCACCTTGATCACATTCTCTCTTGCTGTCTCTTGGATTGTTCATCCAGTAGAAGGCAGCTGCCATGCTTGAGGCATCCCTGTGGACAGGCCCTCAAACAAGGGACTGAGCCTGCCAACAACACAGAGGTAAGGTTAGAAGTGAGCCCCATCTTAGTCAAGCCTTCAGATGTGAGCATAGCTCTAGCTGATAGTTTGGTTGCAACCCTATGAAAGACACTCAGTCATAGGCACACTGCTAACCCATGCTTAGATTCCTGATCATTGGAACTGTGAGATGATAAATGTTATAAATTGTTAACTTTGGCAGTAGTTTATGATGCGGCAACAGAGAGCTAATATAGTTATACCAACACTGAGATTTTGGGGAAGGGTATATTTGATAATATTCTATGCATAATTTTACCTAGAAAATAAGGGCAAAAGGGTTGAGGTAAGAAAGAAAAATGTCCCCACCAAGATGTCCATGTTCTAACTCATGGAACCTGTGAATAGGTTACTTTACCTGGCAAAAGGGATTCTGCAGATGTAATTACATTAAAGTGGTCAACATGGGGAGATTATCCTGGATTATTCAAGTGGGCCCAATATAATTCTAAGAGTCATTATGAAGTGGAGACAAGGGAATCAGAGTCAGAAAAGGAGATGTGACATTGGAAGGAGAAGTTGAAGTGATGTGCTTTAAAGGTGAAGAGTCAGGGGTCAAGGAAGGCAGGTGGCCTCTAGAAACCGGAGAAGGCACCAGAATGGATTCTTCCCTAGAGCGTCCAGAAGGAAATGGTATGTCCAGTTTTTCTTCTTGAACTATAGGTTACCTAGGATAAAAACAGGGAAGAACTTTTTTAACATCTCCCACTATGTGCCCTTAGAATCAGGTCACCAACTGGTTTTAACCAGATGACTAGGCTGGGGTTGGTTTCTCTTCCTCAAATGTTTTGGTTTTCAAAAGACAGAGAGAGAATTGTGTCTTGCTCCCACCCTCATCCTTTCGATGTGCATTTAAATGCTGCAATTCCAAATTTAATGTGCTCTCCAGGTGTAGAAGCTCATGCATTAGGGTAAAGACAGGAAGAACATCTAGTAACTCTGAATAGTGTTTCTTCAATTTCAATTGTTCAGAATATCAAATAATCATTTGTGGAAGAAGAAAGACAATAGGACAAAACTGGAGAAAAATGATCATCTGCCCAAACTTGGTAGTTGGATTGGGACTTGTCTCGGCATCTTGGCCTCCAGATACAAATCTGAGAATGGATTTTGACCAGCACAAAAGCTGAAAGCAAGCAAAGCAAAAAATCTATATCCTTGGTCTGGTGGAGGAGAAAAAGGAAAACACAAAGCTTTCTGAAGACTGAAAAGCAAAGCACATTGGTGAGAATACATAAACAAATAATCTGAGAAGAAAATTTTAACAGACGTAGGCACTTTAATCAAATAAAAGTTGATATGACTTCTTAAAACAGAAAGAGAAAGGCATATGAAGAAAACAGGGCAAAATAAGAAGGGAACAGTTCAAGATGAAGAAAGAGAAGAATAAAGTAGTGAAAGATTACCAAAAAACTAGACATATAATAAAGAAATTAAAACCCACACTGTAGGGGATAAAACACATGATGTGAAAAGCTGAAATAGAGAGTTGGGATGCTGTCCTGAAATGCAAAGACAGGATGGAGCCTAGTCATGGAATAGAGAGAAAGTCAATATAAGAAAACTAAAATGGTTATTCATAAAGAAGAGCAAAACCTATGAAATAATAATCAGAAACTTTACCAGAACTAAACATATCTACAGATGTATTTTTAAGCTCTCCATCCTCCAGGCAAAATGAATGAAAAGAAATCTATACCTAAATATATCTTCCAGTACTTTTATTTTCAAGGATTAGACAAATGGTCTGCAAAATCTCTAGGCAAAAACATATCTTTATAGCTATACCTAAAACTACACATATCTTGTCTATGTATCTGCATCTACATCTATATTCATAACCTATAAGTAGCAAAAATTTAGGTTATGCCAAGATTTTTCTTCTGAGGAACCATATGCAAGAAAATTCTAGAGCAATTGGGGAAATGTGACCAAACGTTGTCCCAGGCCAAACTGAATATCACCCAGAAGGGCGACTAAAACCTACACTCATCTTTGGAAGGGCTCATAAAATATGTCACCCATTTATTCACCATTCTTTAATAACTGTAAGACATCCATCCAAGGATCAAGAAATAAAATGAAATTAAGTTCATGAAGAATGCTTTTAAAGGAAAAGCATAGAACACAGAATCTAATATTTTAAAATAATGTCTGAATTACTTTAACGTGGATACATAGCTCAATGGAAATTGCAAAAATTTTTAATGAAGGAGAAAACATAGAAATTGCTCTCCAAGTAATATATTTCAAAGAATGAGTATGCATTTGTGCAGATCTATAGCTAAGAGAATGTTAAAGATCTATATATTACATTAAGAAACGAAAATACCTATAAATTCACCAATAGCAAAATAATTAAATCCATATGATGTGTAGCATTATGATGAAATGTAATGTGGTTCTTTTGGCAGTCTGCTAGAAGACTTTCCAACAGCATGGGGAAATGTACATAATATATTTTGGTGGGGAAAAAAGGAAGTTATGAAACAGTATGCATAAAAGAACCAGTTTTTGTGAAAATAATGCATATGGTGTGATGAAAGGATACTGGAAGGTTTTGTACTAAATCATTAACAGTGATTTTCTCTGGATAAATCTCCTTTTTTGAGATTTATATATATTCCAAATGTTCTGCCTTCATAGTATCACTTTTGTGTAAGTCCCATATGCTAACCGATTGTGCCACTGGAGCTCCTGGTATCACTTTCAAACAAACAACGTGCAGGTTCTCTGCTTCAGCAGCATATAGGAAGATACATAGGCTTCTTTATGTCTCATCAGTTGCTGGAAGAAACAGTTGAAACTTGACCACCAATTATTATCAGAAAGAGCAGTACACTATCCAACATGTAAAACCAAAACCATTATTTTGAGGTAGGCAGACATTCTTTAGCATTTAGATGGACAGTGTTAAAGAACTCAGGTCACTAAGTCATTCAGCTATCCAGGATACATTTCCTGTTTAATGCAGACCAGTGTGCTGGTTGCATTAACAGATTTCCCAGAATGCAGCCTGCTCCAGGCATCGGATGAAAATTCTTTTAAGGTTCGATTAGATCATTGGTAAGACCTATCCTCAAAATTCTCTAGGCCAGGATGTTTTGCATTCTCTATAGACGTGACTGATTGATCAGAGTTGGCATTCAAGGCATTACCTATTTGCCCTCATAGGGTCATTACACTGAAGCTACATTCATTAATTTAATCACTTGGTTCTCAGATAGTCTGTCCATCAGTAGATACTTTTTAAGTGCTAGACATTGCCCTACGCATGATATCGAAGCATGGTAATGAACAAGATACCCAAGATACCCACTCTCATGGAGCTTACATCCTGAGATAGTCAGTAAATAAGTAAACACATAAATAAGCAGTTTCATTATAGTTAGTGATGAATGTCATAAGAAAATTAAACAGAAAAATGTGGTAAAATGAGACCAGGTAATTTACTTTAGACAGGATGATCAGATAAGCTCTCTGAGAAAGTGAAATTTGTACCAAGACTGGAATGACATGTGAGAGTGAGCCATGATAAATTCTTTTTAACGTTTATTTATTTTTGAGACAGAGAGAGACAGAGCATGAACAGGGGAGGGGCAGAGAGAGAGACACACACAGAATCTGAAACAGGCTCCAGGCTCTGAGCTGTCAGCACAGAGCCCGACGCGGGGCTCGAACTCACGGATCGCGAGATCATGACCTGAGCTGAAGTCGGACGCTTAACTGACTGAGCCACCCACGCGCCCCAAGCCATGATAACTTCTAAGAGACAGGCATTTCATAGAAGGAACAGCTAGTTCAAATATCCTGGGACAGGAACTCACCTGTACCTAAGGAAAAGAAAGAGATCCACGTTAACTGGAGAAGATAAATGTGGTTGTACCAGTCACAGTCTAATGAGGAAAGCAAAAATCACTTAATGCATTTAAAATAGAGAAAATTAGGGGTGCCTGGATGGCTCAGCTGGTTAAGTGTCTGACTTTGATTTTGGCTCAGGTCATGATCTCACACTTGTGGAGCCTACTTGGGATACTCTCCCTCTTTCTCTCTCTCTGCCCCTCCCTTGTTTACATTTTCTCTCTCTCTTTCTCTCAAAATTAATAGGTAAATGAACTTTAAAATAGAGGAAATTAATGTGTAGAACTGGTTGCATGGATGGTAGGAGAGCTGGAATCCAGATGGGATGGTGAGGCAACCCAAAGATTACACATGGCAAGAAGCCATTAGCAACTGCAAGGTGGGAGTGCCACGGGAGGGTGCAGGGGTACCAGGGCACAGGCAGGGCCGTGCAGCAGAAGTTGGACTTCCCCAGCAAGGGCAGGAGACATGGAGGAGACAGGTCAGAGAAATTAGGGGTGACATTTCCAGCACCTCCCTTCCCCCTCTCCCACCAGTGCCATCCACTACTGCCATCTACTGAGGTAGAAGCCAGCCCGTACCAGGGCAGAGCCTGGAATGTGGAAGGAGAGGGCTTGCAGGCAGGGACAGGTGCGGGGCGGGGAGGAGTGAGGTCGAGGGGATGTCCGATCAGGCTGTGGGAGGGTTGGGATCGCCGTCTAAGTGTTAAGGGAAGCCTTGGAAGGTTTCAAGTCCCAGGAAAGAGTGGTATAAAATTCCAAACTTAGAAAAGTTTGCTCCTGCCTACAAGTCTTCTGTGTCACATCTCCTGCAGAGGTTGGTGTACCAGCTGGCCGAATTTCCATCTCCAATGCTGTAGTACGTTATCACAGCAAGAGGCCAATCTTCCATCTACATACTCTACATCGAAAGGGCTCAGAGAAAGTACTTGTGGCTCCAGGACAGTTTAGGGACCTCAGTGATTTGCAGTGTATCATAGTTACAAGCACAAACGGATGCTCTGGCTTCACACCCTCATTTTGTCATCTACCACCTGTGTGACCTTGGACAAGTCACTGAACGTCCCTGTCCTTCTGTTTCCCAACCTGCAAAATGAGGCTAATAATATTACCTACTTGATGGGATTGTCGTGAGGATTTAAATGCATAACCTGGGCCATTGCCTAACCCAGAGAGAAAGTACGAATATGTGTTTACTTAACCCCAGCCTTTGTGAAATGCCCACTCAAAGTGAGGCCATTGGTATTTGTGACAAACCTTAAGGGATATGCTAAAGCTTCAAGTTCCTAAGCCCCTCAAATCAATGCTTCTCAAAGTGTGGTCCCAGACCAGCAGCACAGAATTTAGGAACTTGTTAGAAATGTAAATTATTGGACCTCACCCCAGATCTACTGAATTTGAAGGTGAGCCTGGCGATCTGGTTTTATAAGCCTTCCAGGAGATTCTGAGGCATAACTGCGAACTTCTTTTTTTTTGTTTGTTTGTTTTTCAAGTGAGAACTTAAGGTGAGTAGCCTGAAAGAAACATATCTGAACTTCTCTGATTTAACTTATTATACAAAGGCCTTTATTGAACCACAATTCAATATAGGGAATAAGAAATTATTTGTTGAAATGTGTTTCTGCATCCTTCAAAAAATTACATTGTTCAATCCCATGTGAAAGTGATTTTTTAAGTGAAAATGCAATATAAAAGGACATATTACTTATGGCAATATTCAATGTCGTTTCAAAAAATGTTTATTTATTTTTGAGAGAGAGAGAGAGAGACAGAGCATGAGCAGGGGAGGGGCAGAGACAGAGGGAGACACAGAATCTGAAGAAGGCTCCAGGCTCTGAGCTGTCAGCACAGAGCCTGATGTGGGGCTCAAACCCACGAACCATGAGATCATCACCCAAGCCCAAGCACTAAATTCCTCCTATGTTGGTAATAGTGTAGGATTGGTTTCCTTGTTTCCTTTAGTTTTTGTGCTATGTTTTTTTGTTTGTTTGTTTGTTTGTTTGTTTTTTAATCTCACACCATTCCCACCCCCTCTAAGGATCAAGGACTCTGCCTTGTGTCCCAGGCTGTTGGCAAAGCTGTTTTTCTCTTGGGACAAGTCTCTAGTAGCACAAGGGGGTCCTTCTGTTGGATGGGCCATAGAAGACTTGCAGGCGGCTATAGAGGGAAGGCCCTCGCCCAAAGAGTTTTTTGAAAGGGGACACGGCTCCTCTGTACAGGAGCAGAGGGGAGCCCTTCAGCACTCACCAGGCTGCAGCAGGCAGGACCTTCTCTGTCAGATCTCTTGCTTCCTCCTTCATGATACCCATCCTTCCAGACAACGGCCCTCGTGCAACCTCCCAGAGATGGGACACAATTCTCTTCTCTTTCTACTCATTTCAGTGGCAAAATTTTTCCTGCAAGGCTTCCCTTTTGATTCTCAGAAACCCAGTATGGAAATTAAAACGATTACTGAACATAATTTTGCTTTTCTCTTTGCATTTACGATCCAACAACAACTTTTCCCTTCAAAGCCATGGGAGGGGGAGTGTCTCAGACCAACAAGGAAAAGGTTGGGAAGGGTAAGAAAAAAGAAACATTCTCAAGATTAATATCTCAAGAAGTCTTCCCACTACACTCATAAAATAGAAAGTTATTCCGCAAACTCATGCTGTTCGCTCTTATGTCTCAGTTGCCAAGACTTGGTTTTGAATCACAGTCGCTTCATTTCAACTGTGTCTTCTGGTGGGAACTAATCATACTCCCTTCTGTTGTTAAATATCCTAGTTCTTAGCTTGTTTCCCTCTTGCAAATGTGTGTCTGTTTTTGTAAACCAACTCAAATTCCTTTGGAAAGCAAAGTACAAATAATGCATGAACTAACAAAAGTCTGGTCCAGAGACAAAACTTTGCAAAGTTGCAAATAAACTCAGGCTCTAAGATACCATCTCTTTAAAATATAAATGGTTTTATTCATTTAATAGAAGTGTTAAGTTTTGAAATAAGATTTCATGGGATCAACCTAGCCCAGCCACCTTTCAGTTGCGTGGTACCTCAGTTTCCTCTGCAGCAAAAAGGAAAGAATAATAATATCCCTCTGATAAGGTAGTTGTGAATTTAGATAAAATTATATGTAAAGCGCTTACCATAGTGCCTGGAAAGTAACAGATGCTCAATGATGTCAGCTGTTGCTAGTATTCTGATGATTCTTATCATTGTTGTTATAGTGACTGGCAACTTTGATCTAAAAAAAGGAATTAGAGGCACCTGGGTGGCTCAGTCGGTTAAGCATCTGATTTCGGCTCAGGTCATGATCTCACAGTTGGTGAGTTGGAGCCCCACGTCGGACTCTGTGCTGACAGCTCAGAGCCTGGAGCCGGCTTCAGATTCTGTGTCTCCCTCTCTCTCTGCTCCTCCCCCTCTCACACTTTCTCTCTCTCCGTATCCCTCTGAAAAATGAATAAAACATTAAAAAAATAAAAATAAATAAATAAAGGAATTATAAGAGCTTCAAAAATGCGTGCAGTCCATAAAATGTCATGAGTATAAGGAAGTGAAAAAGATTAAGAACGTGGATAGTTATGACGTTCTAGACTAATTCATCACTCCATTGTTATTTTTGCTTTATCTTTAATAGTCTAGCTTTGTCATTTGAATCAGCTCTCAAATAATTTTAAAGTTTTTGACTTATTGGGGCACCTGGGTGACTCAGTCGGTTAAGTGTCCGACTTCAGCTCAGGTCATGATCTCGCGGTTTGTGAGTTCGAGCCCCGGGTGGGGCTCTGTGGGACAGCTCGGAGCCTGGAGCCTGCTTGGGATTCTGTGTCTCCTTCTCTCTCTGACCCTCCCCCACTTGTGCTCTCTCTCTATCAAAAATAAACAAATGTAAAGTTTTTGACTTATTAGGAGGCTTACTTTTTGCTTTCTCATTTTCACCAATAGTCTAAATCAAGATGTCTCTAAATATTTGACAGATTTTTTTAATGCTTTTATTAATTTATTTTTGAGACAGAGAGAGACAGAGCATGAGCAGGGGAGGGACAGAGAGAGAGGGAGACACAGAATCTGAAGCAGGCTCCAGGCTCTGAGCTGACAGCACAGAGCCTGATGCAGGGCTCGAACTCACGGAGTGTGAGATCATGACCTGAGCTGAAGTCGGACGCTCAACCGACTGAGCCACCCAGGTGCCCCAAGATGTCTCTAAATATTTGGAAGTAAATAGGCATTATTACACACACTCGAAAATGCACACATGTGCTCACACACGCATACACACAAGGTATAAATATTACCATGTCCAGGGCACTAGAAGTCATAAGGTGCAGAAATATAGTGTCTCTTTAAAGAGTAGTATATATCACTCTTCTAAAGAGAAGGTTCTTATACTAACCTGCACACTGATTTACTTAGATGATCAGAAAACATGATATAAATGAAGTCACTAAAGAGAATTAAGAAATCCAGATTCCTGAGTTTTGTAATAGACTTGCTGAATCGAACTCTCCCAGCATGGGAAGTCGTTAGGAGGGTTTTTTTGTTTTTGTTTTTGTTTTTGTTTTTGTTTTTTTCACAACCTGGCCTCTCCTGTTAGGATGAGTAATGGCGCTCACTGTAATAAAAACGTATGCTGATGTATACACTAGGTGGCTTGTCAGTAATTCAGTTATAGGGAAGCAACAAGAAGAACCTCATTAGAACTTGGTGTCAGAGAAGTGATTGTGGTAGACAAAGAAATTAACAAGAAAACTGATACGAGCTGCCAAAGGTAAGAGTGGAACTGAGTGGGATTGAGCCCCACCCGGTGTCTCCGAGGCAGAGGAAGTAGCCTTGCAGCCATTACTGACCCCCAAAGATGAAGTACAGCTCAAGACCGCCTACAACAAATCCAACGGGCGGCCCAAGAGTATAGGCTCTGCCTCCCCTGGCCCAGGCCAGCCTCTGCTCAGCAGCCCCACAACGGGTGGAGTCAAGAAGGTGTCAGGGGTGGGTGGTACCACCTATGAGATTTCCGTGTGAGCCTTCAGCACCTCCCTTCCGCCCCACGCCTCTGCGCCTACACCAAAGGGCCCCAGGTGGCCACCTTCCTTTCCTCAAGGGGCTCCCCTCCCCTGCATGGACATTTTTTTAAACCACCGATTCCAAGAGGTTGAGGAGCGTTTTATAAAATGCAGTGGGGTTGGGGAGTTGGAGAGTTGGGGCCCTGAGACTGGGGTAGCAATCCCCTTTACCTTCCCTTCCTTAACCCCTGGACCAGACTCAGTGGACGTTTGTGCAATTGCTCGCCCTGGAGGGAACCAGGTCACTTTTTAAACCAGAAATATTTTTTTTTTATTATTGTTAAAAAAAAAAAAAAAAAGAGTTTCACGTACAGATCCCGTTCTCCCACAAAACATGGCCATTCACACATGATTTCAGAGGAGAAAACTGGACTTCAAGTTCAATGCAACCCTTTTGTAGGTAAAGCTGATTCTGTCCTTCTGACTATTGGTGCTTCTCTGGTGAACTCTTCCCCCCAAATCGACTTCCTGTCCATTCACCTGAACTTCACCCACACTCTCTTCTCCAAGAGCAGATTTACAGTTGATTTTCTATAGATTTGAGCCCCTGTCTTTCTCTCAAAAATTTCTCCAAATCTAAATTAAAAATAAAGGAAGGTTAGGAAATCTATTTCACCAGCATGAAAGCACTCACACTCGATGACAACATTCACCATCCTGGGTAGCTTCACAAATTGCTGCCTTAAAGAAGTGAGAGAATTCTACAGGATCTTTCTCTTCTGTATTATTCCTTACTATTTTTTTAAAAAAATGTAATGACTGTGGGCACTAAAAAAGAGCTGCTTGGACTAACAATTGTATCATTTTATTCCATTTTAATCTAAAATTATGGTTTCCCCTTTATCATCCTTTAAGCAATTAATGTCTACCAGTTTAAAAGCTTTTCTACTATTTGCTTTTGTACTTTTTCTTGGAAATTGATTCTGTATTTGTATTCTGTGAGGCAAACGATTTAGGCTGAAGTCCTCATGCGTTCGTATTCAGGATTTTTGCCCGTGGCTTCTCTTGCTTCTGGTGTATTGATTCTATTATTCTGTAGAGGTTATTTTGATGTATTTTCTTTAGACTAAAAGTACTCAGCGGGTCTCTACCTTTTTCTGTAATTCACAAGGAAGTAATTTTAAATGTAAAAGAGCATAATTGGTGATAATACAGGAAATTTCACAGAGTTCTGCTCTTCCAAAACTATTCTTATTCATTTTATCAGTAGATGATATTGAAAGCTTAGTAATTGCAAATCATTTGCTAAATATTTTAAATGCATGATTTCACTTATTCCTCCCTGAAACCCTTCCATGGATGTGGTAATATTGGCCCCATTTTACAGATGAGGACAGCGAGGTACAGATTTTTCAGTCACCTGCTCCAAGTCACATACATAACAGATACAGAGTGGGGACTTGAACCCAACTCTGATGGCACTAGACCTGACCTTGTTTAACACCTCTAAATTCTACCTTGAGTGTTTACCACTATTGTGTTATGTTTTTAGCTTTGCAAGCCCCCTATATGTAACCGGAATTATGTCCCCGAAATACATCAGCTCCTAATCCCTGAAACCCATAAATGTGACCTGATTTGGAGAAAAGATCTCTGCGGATGTAATTAAGAAAAAGGATTCTGAGATCAGATCAGCCCTAAATGCAGAGGGCCCTAAATGCAGTTACTTGTATCCTTCTAAGAGGGAGGCAGCAGGAAAACAGAAGAGGAGAAAGGAATGTGAAGATACCGGAGTGATGTGGCCACAAGCCAAAGAATGCTAGGGGCCATACCAACTAATAAATATTCAAGGACCACGTGTTACCTCACTGATAATTACAGTCTACAGTGAACAGACGAAAGAAGGTGCCTTGGTGTTATCCTTACCTTTTTAATTGACATATTTTTTTCAAGTTGACTCCATGCTTCCATAGTCCTGTTTATTATTTTAAAACAAAATGAAGGTATACACATGGAATACTTAAAATGGATAATTCTAGAAAGCACATTGGAAGAAGAAAATTAAAACTTAAGTGTCTCTGTTATTAATTCATAGCTGTGCTTCTTTTGTTTTAACTTCCATCTAAAGCGCTCCTGATCAGCATGTGTCTGCAGCTTGTTCTGTTGGATGAACTTAGAGTTGTTGTCCCTTTCCTGGCCATGCCCTGGTGCTTCAAGGTGGCCCCATGCTTGAGAAACAGCATGTGATGATTTAGGACACGGTGTCATCCAGGCAGCCTCTTTAATCATGTTCTGCTAAAAAAATGCATCCCCCAAAGTTTAGCTTCCTGCTCCTTTGAATTCTTGCACCTTCCTTCACCTTACCTGGAAGAGAGTCTAGGTTAAGACAGGAAGCAGGGTATCCCAGTGTTACTGATTCTCTCTCTTTCCTCTTCCAACCTCACCAGCAACTTTTATGCTTTCTTTTGTGGAAACGGTTCCACATCCATCAGTAATTTCTTTTAGTCTCACTTCAGATTAATATTACTTTATGAAATAA